ATTGCATTCAGCCATGATGGGAACTTTCTGTCGCGTCACTCTCCTGTTCCAACTCCAACAACAAAGAATGGAAACGGAAGTATTTGTGGATATCAGGCTTGTCCGAGTACACTTAAGCGAATTAGATAATGACTGTGGATTATTGGGAGAGGTCCCTTCTGTCTGAATAAGTCACAATGAATCACATGATTCACACGAAATTCAGTCTTTGTGTTATACGAACTATCACCTAGACATCTGTCTCTGAAAAGGACTGTTTCACGTACATCAATAGGCTCATGGGAGTCAAACTGTCAGATAGTACACGGTCAGGTACCCAGCATAGAGCTCGCATAACCTGTTTGGTCAACAGTTTTAGGGTTGATTACTCTTGTTGATCAGTGGATTTCAGGCCAAAACGGGGTGTTGCTTGCAAATCCGGGTGCGATGGTTGAGGTGAGATCGTGTCTCTGTTAGATGGATGATCTTTTTGCTCTGAGTATATCTGCTCTCTTGATGGGGGACTCGGTACAACCCTGCTCCCCCTGCCTTTAGCACAGACTTCACCTCCCAAACTTGACACCAGGCGCTCGTGGATCGTGTTGCTATTTTACGATCCCAGCAAACATGGATGTCCGAAAGTGTGCTTGTCGTCGCTAGTAAGACTATTGCATTTAGTGTGTCACTAACACACACGACAGTTCGACCGTCGATTTCGACGATGTCCACCGTGTGCCCACAGCAGAGGTAAGAGTAGGGACGGTGACTTGAGCAGGGATTTATAGTGCCAGTAGACTTGCGCTGCATCTACCTACACTCTCTCCTCCTCCCCCGCCTGAGTCCGGCGTCAAGACAGAGTCAAGAAGACCGGAGATGGGGGAGGCCGCAGGTGGATGGCTCGGACGGATCCTCACCTTGGCGTTTCACCAGACCCCCTGGTCCACACAACAATAACCAGGATTTTGACCACAAAACAATGGGGTGGCGGCAGTGGTCCAGTTGAGCGACGAATGCCGACAACAGGGTCCGTCAGCGCGCCCCGCAAATGTTGGCATTTGTTATTGCGCACAGATAACGCCTGCCAGAATCCGATGTGGCTCGCGTGTTGGCCCAGTGCATCTAACAGGTGGCCCGTTATGTGGGCGCACACACACACACACACACGACAGGTCGGCGGTCGTTCCCGACGATTTCCATCGTGTTGTCCATAGCGAGGTGAGTGCAGGCACGGCGACTGGCGCGCGAGTTAGTTCATAGTGATGACAGGCTTGCGTAGCATCTACCGCATCCTCTCATCCCTAGCATAAACCCGGCGTCAAGACAGAGTTGAGAAGGCCGTAAGCGAAGGAGGGCGCAGATGGATGGCACTGCCATGCCCGCACCTTGGCTGCACTTAACACTTCCTGGTCCGCAGAGCAAATGGCGAAAATCATAAGTAAAAACAAAAAGGTGTTGGCGCAGCCGGATCCGCACCCGGGCGTGCAGCCAAGCCCGGCTTTTTTCTTACAGAGTGGGAGTGCCATGTCCGCTGGTGGGGGAAGGTGTGATGGTGTGGTGTAGTCCGTGGTTATTTGCCGCAGGTTTTCGCTAATGCGGTGCACGAAAATCCCAGTTGCTGGAAGCAGTTCGGATGGAGGTAATTCCATAGGTTGGAAATTGAAATTATTTACAAATGGTGGCCATAATCTTCAAAAAATATCCAAATTTCCCACAATTTTCTGCACGATGCTGACAAAAGCGTTGATATAACGAAGTAGCTAGCATTACTCGGCTGCCTCCTTCGGAATGCCATCAATAGTGAATACTCCAGTAATAAGGTCAGTCACAAGAGCTGCAATTTGCACAATGCCCGCTTGCTGTTTTCATGGACTCACTGTCGAGATAGCAGGCGCCCACTACTCCGTTCTGAAGCCAGTCCATTTCCATTGGTCCTTTCAGATCTTAATCTCACAAAACCGGAAAGTCGAATGCACTTGTGGAGTAAGATGAGGAAGATAGTGCGTTATGTTTACCAGTACCGGAACGATTATGACTACTTCTACAAAGCTGATGATGATACTTATATGTTTGTGGAGAACCTGGCCGACGAACTGAGTCGAAGAAACCCCGACGAACCATTCATGATGGGACGCCGTTTTCCCGTAAGTAATTTCATACTGTAAATCCTAATGCATGGATATTGATTTTAGGCAGATTCTACTCCTGTTTAAACTATTTTTTGCAGTTTGCAAAGTTTCGTGTAGCGTAGTCGGTAGTGGGTGTTTACAATGTTAGAATTCGGGCTTTAATTTAAATAAGGACTATTATCAACAAAGACGAGGAAATCCGGAATGACCGCTACTGGTTCATTTACCAGCCAATCAGGCCAAAGCGACAGGCCTGGAAAGCCTTAGTCATGAACTTGCTATCGTCGCTTCCTGAGCATAACACATTGCCGTTTGGTCAGGAGCTTACAAACTGTAGACTAGACTCCGAAATCCTAAGAGCAATGTGTGAATGCAGTCATCCGATTTAACGCGATTGCGGAACGGAGTATGCTGTTTCGTTTTGCCTTGGAACTCATGCCGCCTGCTTGTGTTCGTATGCAATCGCCCTTTCAACTGAGGTTCTACTTACAGTAGATGGGTTATCTCATGAAGTGTTAATCGAAATTGTGAAATACGTCATCGACTCGAGAAGATATCCTTAAGTATGATTGTAAGATAACTCACCGTGCAGCATAATCCCATGATAATTCAGTTACTTCAAGATGCCGGCATTTAAGTAAACTTCTTTATGGCCATCTGCTAAATTACACTCCGTCAAAAATATTATTTGTTTAGTATGAATTTTTGTCACGGATTATCGGTGTCTATACAAATGTAATAATTCATATTGACCCTACTGTGCAATACTCGGCGCCTCGGTGGGATTCGAACCCGCGCAGTAAGGGGAAGGCCTCTAGTAAAGCCAACGCTCTAACCACTTGGGTTACGAGTCCCCCTCCGGACGACGCGAGTTTAATCACATTTGGGTCAAGTTACCCTAGGAATTACGTAGGCCTGGTAGTCGTCTGGTGGATTCTAGGTGAATTACTTAGGAAATCCTGCCTGGGCAGTCAACTTACTGTATCAGATTTGGTGGATTCCAGACGTTGCAGCAGGTTGGGCGGGTAACCTGACCCAAATGTGATTAAACTCGCGTCATCCAGCGGGGCCTCTTAGCTCCAGTGCATAGAGCGTTGGCTGTACTAAAGGCCTTCCACTTACTGCGCGGGTTCGAATCCCACCGAGGCGCCGAGGTTTTCACATTTGGGTTAATATGAATTATTCAAAATCTGCCAAAACATCTAGAAATTTAATTATATTTCATAGAAGACGTACGCAAAAAATGCTCATTTTTTACTCATTTGGTAGAAAATTAAGTCTTCTTTAAACTCGATACGCGAAGAAAGGGTGTAATGTGCTTTTGAAAAATGTTTTTGATTATGAGATATTTTAAGCCCGGGAAATGCCCGTTCATAAAATATCGTGTTTCTGCACATACTAACTTTGATTTTAAAATTGTCAGTACGGCTCAAATCCACTAATAACTTTCAATAACCCCATAAAGTCTCCTCTTAATACTGTATAAAAATCTATGATTCTCCGTACACGAAAAATATACAGCATCTAGCTTTGAAACCCTGAATGCAAATGTAACAGCAGGTAGAGTTCAAAATTATTCAAGGATTAGAATAGTTTTTTCAACCGAATTATGCCCTTCAATTATAAAATTTAAATACTAAATAAGTGGTCATTTTCGTATTGTGTAGTTTCGTAGATGGTCATAAAGAAATTCATTTAAAAGCCGGCATAATGAAGTGAACGAATAATCATGGCATTATGCTGCACAGCGATAAATATGAATGTGCGGGAGCAGTGTGGACAGTGGATGAGGAGGGTGTAGACACACACACACACACACACACACACGACAGTTCGACCATCGATTTCGATGATGTCCACCGTATGCCCCACAGCAGGTGGGAGCAGGGACGGTGACTTGCGCAGGGGTTTATAGTGCGCGTAGACTTGCGCTGCATCTACCTACGCTCTCTCCACCTCCCCCGCCTGGGCCCGGTGACAGGACAGAGTCACGAAGACCGGAGACGAGGGAGGCCGCGGGTGGATGACTCGGACGAATCCTCACCTTGGCGTTCCACCACACCCCCTGGTCCACACAGCAATAACCAGGATTTCAACCAACGCAACAGAGATTTGGAGGCTGGCACGGCCGAAGCCGCACATGGGCGCGCCGCCGTCGCCTGGCTCGAATCCCACACTGCGATGGGAGTGCCATAAAGACCACATTGAAAAGGAGCAATTGCAGCCTGACTCTCAGACCGCCTCCAGTGAAGGAGGAGGTCCAAGTTACCTCGTCAGTTGGCAACCTTCCAAGCCACGGCTTTTAGCGCACCGTGATAGCTTCAAGCGCGTCAGATTGTTTATAGTGAGGAGGAAGTGCACTGAGTCGTCGACCTCACTCTCCATTCCCATTCCCACACTCCAGCCGCCGTCCGAGCCGGTCGGCAAACTGGAGTGGGGAATGGGCGCGGTGGCTGACACGGTCGACTGACCATGCCTGCGCCCGCCACAGCACGACCTGGCCCCCCATACACACACATCAGGTTTTCACACAACGGAGGTTGAACGAGGTGTCTCTTATTTGCATGAGAGGGTCGTGGAAGGTGCTGTTTCAGCCCCTCCCCAGCCCACCAGTCCGCCACTCCACACAACGCACACACACAACGTGACGAACTGCGTGGACCGACTGGGGGCGTCAATCAGCAACCTTGCTATCCACGACACTTAGCGTGTCGGAATAGCCTCGGACTCAAGTCACCCGTGCAGTCGAGGCCGCATGGGGACCGAGTCGAGATGCACACTTCCCACTTGCATGGAAGGTGGCAATTGATGCATGCGGTGGGTGAGTGTTGATGCGTAGTGGTGATGGTGGAGGAGGGTATGGAGTGTGTGAATGTGTGGTGTAACCGGCGGTATCTACCGCATGTCCTCGCGGATGCGCGTGTGACCGAATAGACCCATGCGGTGCCTGAAAGTGCGAGGACAGTGTGGGCAGTTGAGTCGAGCTTTCTGGGTATAGGTTGGTGCTCCAGGCACTGGTTCGCCAGTCTCTGTGCTATGGATCCGCAAGTGACCGACCAGGCCGATGCGAGAGGTGAATGTGCGTGAACAGTGTGGGAAGGTAAAGTCGGCGGCCTCAGTGTCAGCTACGGAGGAAGCGGTGATGGTGTAGGTGGTGGTGGTGATGATGGGCGCGCATGGTGATGGAGCGAGGGTGGGACTGGGCGTGGTGGATGTGCTGGATGTCGTGGGTGTGTCGGAGTTGCGGTCAGGTCCGCTCTCGTGGATGCTCATGTGGCCGAATAGGCCCATGCGATGCCTGAAGGTGCGAGGGCAGTGTGGGCAATAGAGGCGAGTGCGATGGGTGTTGGTTGATGCTCCAGACACTGGTTCGCCAATCTCTGTGCGATGGATTCGCAAGTTACCGACCAGGCCGATGCGAGAGGTGAAGGTGCGGTCGCAGTGAGGGCAGGTGCAGTCCTGATCCTCATCACTGGAGTCGAGGGAGGTGGTGGTAGTGTCACTCGTTGCGTGTGTGACAGTCGCCTGAGCGGCCGTCGTTGGAGCAGTGGAGGAGGAGGAGGAGGAGGAGGATGGAAGTGGTGGTTCAGAAGAATTGACAGAGTTACTTGGCGGCGGCGGGGAGGAAGAGACGGGCTGGGGGACGATGGTTGGTTCAGTTCGAGAGGCGCAGTTGGTCCGAAGATGTCCAACAAGTCCGATTCGAGCCCGGAATGTCCGTTGACATCGAGGACACGTTGGAAGCGGTTGTGCGGCGGCGTTGCGGACTGGGCGAAGTTGTGATTTGCGGGCTTCGCGTTTCGCTTTGGCGGCGGCTATGCGATTGTCTTCGTAGATCGCAGCGCCTGTCTTCACTGTCCTCCTCCAGGTCGGTCGATCGAGTGCGAGCTCTTCCCAGTTGGTCGGGTTGATTTGCAGGCGCCTCAGGGAGGACTTCAGGGTATCCTTGTAACGGCGAATCTGGCCTCTTTGACGGCGAGAACCCGTCGCGACGTCTCCGTAGAAGAGTCGTTTGGGTAGTCGCTCGTCGTCCGTGCGCACCAGGTGGCCGCTCCAGCGCAACTGCATTTGTCTCAGTATGGCGTGTATGCTGAGCATTCCCGTACGTTCTAGCACATCAGTATCGGGGATACGATCCTGCCAGTTTTGCCTCAGGATGCGACGAAGACAGCTGAGGTGGAAGTGAGTCAGTCGGCGTGCCTGCCTCTTGTACACCGTCCAAGTCTCCGCTCCGCAAAGTAGCGTCGGCAGGGTGACGGCCTT